TCCGATAATGACTCAAAAACAACTTCTGATACTAAAGAATTCATCGTAAAAGAGCAATACTTCAAGTCGAGAATCTGTTTATATCTCTATATCCCTTGGGACATGACAAATAGCAACAAAATCTCCTCCTCCCCACCCATGTAACAAAGCTAATCGACCAAGAGATTAAAAATTGGCTAATTAGTGAGACGGAACAAATTTACGAAATCTGTAATCTTATTGGTGCGGCCAGATCGATAATCCTACCGACTCCTACCAGAGGTTTGATTTTCGCTCGGCCTTACGGCCTCGATTATGGCGCTTCGCGCCGACAAAAAACAATAGCGAAGAGAGAAAATATCAAACCTCTGGGACTTGATTTTCGCTCGGCCTTACGGACTCGATTACGGCGCTTCGCGCCGACAAAAACAATAACGAAGAGAGAAAATATCAAACCTCTGGGACCAGGGTACAAGAAGGGTGAGTTTCAAACTAAGATTTGTTCGTTATTATTCATATTTAGCTGACAAAAACGCAATAATTCGAAGCGATATCATTATCAGTCTTCCCAAATGTATGCGATTGACGATAAGATATTTTTAAATTCTATAATTTTGAATTCGAGTTCGATGCCACTACATTTTCAAAGTTTTGTGTGAAATCTGATGATCGCTGTTTATAGAGCTATTTTCTCTTTTGTTTCTTCTTGGAACAAGTTCAAAACTKACATACAGCCTCTAGAAAGATGCAGTTCTAACATATTTTATGGCGCCCGGTAGCGCCCCTCGGAAAGTGTTCATTTTATGTGATTGAAATATGCCGTTTTTTGACAGGTAATCGACTAGTATGGTGACGAAGAGACATCTTTAACTGGAAGTTTAAAACTGTCAACTACCCATGGAAGCACGCYAGCATCCAATAGAACTTTAAGATATTCTTGGAAGAATTCTTTGATTTTCCCTGGGAACCAAAGGTTGAATTTACTCTTTGTTGTAGTTAGCTTATAGTTTATTTACGGCGCGAAGACAAAAAGCGCAGTCCTTCAGGCAGGTTCGGCCTAACGGCCTCAAATACGGCACTTTCCACCATAAATATATAAGAAAGAGTAAATCCAGCCTCTGGTACCCAGGGTATCTTTGAGTCTACARGGTTTAATAAAAGTTTAATAAAATACCATCAGATTACTTTAAGCGCTCAAATCTGTAGTAATGATAAAACTGATTCCCTCCTTGTATTGATCTATACAAGGCTTTATAGAGCCATCCTGATTATCGATAGCTATCATCTTTTCCTTTTAATTAATGTTTAAATATTTTTTCGTTCAAAACTGCCGGGAAATAAACACTTGATCACCATAATGGTATCGTCCGTTGACCTTTCGCTACGCTTCAGAGATGACTGTACCGTGGTCTGAGGCAACTGAGCGTAAATTTCCCGTCTTAACATGATGCATTGCGGTCGTAGTGCGCACATCGTTTGCTTAGCATCTATACGTGAACGCTTCATAAACATACAGCAGTCTATTATAAAGATTCTGCCCATTGGTTGATGCTGCTTTCTAAAAGTACTGAGTTGGGCGATGTGTCATATATGGACATTGGGGGAAACGCTCTGCGCGTACGTACGTCTTAAACAACAAAATGGCAGAAACTTTTTCAGTATGTTTTTATCAAAACATCGGTATCAAAACTCTTTTAAATTCAGAGGGTGCGCATTGCGTTTCTYCACATTGTCGTGTGTATGTCGTCTTATTGACACACCTCTTATTTAGTAACCATAATTCAAAGCGCGTGAATTCACTAAGGTTTGTGTGATAAATTATTTTTCTAAGTTGGACGTAATTTCATAACAGCTTTTATTGGAAGAATAGTAATAACAATTCGAAAGTCGTCTATTTTCACGTTTTCACGGTTTACAACCTCGTAAAGATTGCATAATTTTAGGAAATACTGTAAAGATGATCTTTACGCCGCTGTACATTGTCATAAAACTGCAAATTCCTTGAAGCAAGCGCGATTGTGACTGTTTTTGGCTACTGTGCTTTCCTGTGTAAGTTACATGAATACGCCAAGTTCGATTGTTATATATATAATGGGATTGTTTGGGTACCTTCCCAGCATGCATTCTTATAAAACCTTTTGTGGCTTCACAGTTGATTATCGAAAGCATTCAGTTGCATGCTGGATTCTATAAGATATAGTATACTTCAGTTCTAAACTGGCCGTATTTTCATAACAGCTTTTTTGGCCGAGTAGTGATAGCGCTTCCAGTGGTACCAATTTATTCCATCAGCATAAGACGAATGACTGCCGTTAAGATATAATCCATTCAGGTTTGAATTATGACAACCATCGTACCACCATGCCCCCTTATATTTGACAGCACAACGATTGTCATCACTATCTTTAGTTGTGAAAGGTCTGTTACGATGATACGATAAGGAATCTCCAGCGGTACCTGTGGAATGCAAATGCCAACAAGTGTAAGGAAATGCGACACACGGTCTCCTTTATGGTTCCCTGCACCATCTTGAAAGGTAGTCGGTTTTGAAAAAAAAAGCGAGATGTTGAGCATGCAATATAGCAAACCTCTTTCACACCTACAAACAACTATTCGCAGTTCAACAGCCGTCAAGTTTCGGTGCAAAGGTGTAGGAGACTCTTATTCGATGGTATAATACAGCTCTGAGGTCTGAACGCTTTCTAAAATGAATGCATGGCATTGTGGTCTAGATTCGGTACAAACAACTATTACCAAACAATGAGTGTAAATATATTGTTACATGTACTGAGGCTATTTAACAATTAGACCTCGAGGTCGGGTAGACTACGAGCTAATAGCCCATGAGGCCGAATCCACTCGACCTCGAGGTCTAACTGTTTTAGTATAAACATACTAATCGGTCAAATAATGAAAACAAATTGAAATATCCTTAAAATAAATTATTTATGAGATTGATTTCCCGCGAGTGGTCTATCACAAATTAGACCATTAGTAGAGTAGCCAATCACAGCGCAGTATGAGTGATAGACCATTAATATGTTTATACTAAACTACAATAAAGCATGATTATGA